CTTAGTCAGGGATTTGGCATTTAGTTAGTTGTAGGAAAATGGAGGTCTGACATTTGTTGGTGCCAGTCATGCACTTCCTTGTGGTTGGTTAAATAATTTGGTATACTTTGACTTGTATTTTTTGGAAGTGGGTTTGTTGGGTTAGTTTGGTTTGAGAATGGATACTGTGAGTTCTTTTTTGTCTTCTCCAACATTAGAACTCTTGGAAAAGCTTACAAAGGAGCAGATTCGTCAAGTAGCCGAACACTTTAAAGTTGATCTTGAAGATGTAAAAGGATTAAGATTACCTCCACTAAGGAGTTTTTTAAAAGACGAACTTATAAAACTGAATGTCTTTACTGTCTCTCTTTCAGATGTTGATGTGACAGATGAAACTTCTCTTGGTTCAGGTTCCTTAACTGGTGCTCCAAAGTTGGTAGATGAATTGTCAAGCTCAACAGTTTCTCAAGCTTCTCAATTAAAGTTTCAGTCTAAGAAAACTGAGATGGAAATGCAGTTGGAGTTAGAAAAATTACGGCTAGCACATGAGCTTGAGGAGAGAAAACTAGCTTTACAGGAAAAGCGGCTGGCTCATGAGCAAGAAGAAAAGAGGTTAGCACATGAATTGGAGGTGAAGAAATTATCTTTGGAAGCTGAGCGTCTGAAGTTGAGGTCTGAGGGCAGGTTAAGTGGTGGATCTGTTAATTTGTCTCAAGGTGGTGATGGGTTTTCTGGACATAACTTGGTTAACATGTTGAAGCTGTTGCCTAAGTTTAATGAACAAGATCCTGATGTGTTTTTCTCTTTGTTTGAGGACATGGCAGAGGACAATGACTGGAGTGATCTAGATTGCTCCATGCTGCTGCAAAGTGTGTTGGTGGGTAAGGCCCAAGAAGCTTATGTTTCATTAGCGTCAGCTGAAAGAAAGGTATACAAATCTGTTAAAGAAGCTGTTTTGAAAGCTTATGAACTGGTTCCTGAGCATTACAGACAACAATTTAGGAACTCCAGGAAAGCTGAAAAACAGTCAAATACAGATCTTGTCAGAGAATTAAACACCCAGTTTCATCGCTGGTTATCAGCTGAAGGTGTGGATGATTTTGAATCACTTTGTGACTTAATGGTGTTGGAACAGTTCAAGAACATTATTCCAGATCGGGTGGCCATATATATTAATGAACAAAAGGTAAAAACTGCTGCTAAAGCTGCTGTCTTAGCAGACGAGTATGTTCTGACCCATAAAGCTGTGAGGGATTCTAATTTGAAAGGTGACCACAGCCTTAAGGAATTTCATCACGACCGGTTTCCTGGTAAAAATAGATTGGATCCTACATTGAGATCTAAAGCGGACTTGGTTTGTAACTATTGTCGCCAGAAGGGACACTGGAAAAATGAGTGCCCTCTGAATACTAAATCAAGTAGGGGTAAACGGGATCATCAAAAACCTGTGGCTTTAGCCAGTGTTGCACAGTTGCATTCAGTGGAGTCTACACCTCTGCCTAAAGTTGAAAGTGTAAGACCAACTGTTTTAGCTGCACCTTGTGACTTCCAGTCTTTTTCAGAGCTGACTGATTCAGATCCCCAGACCTTTGAGAAGGATGTCGGACAAGATTACACTCCTTTCATCACACATGGGTTTGTTTCTCTCAGTGGAAGTTCAAATAAAGTGGCTGTAAAGATTCTGCGTGACACCGGAGCTTCTGAATCTTTCATATTGGATTCTGTTTTGCCATTTTCTTCATGTTCTGATACTGGTCGTAGTGTCTTAATTAGAGGTATTGGGATGGAGACTTTCTCTGTGCCTCTCCATAGGATCTACTTGCAGTCAGAACTG